TTGTTTAGTTTTCCATGTAGTTTTTGTTCATGCTTACTTCTTTTGGCTCTTTGTTCAATTGGAGTTTTTTGAGGTTTTAATTTATCAACTTGGTATTTGATTCATGCTATTTATCAATGGAAATTATTTAGTGACGCGAGGGAGACCCAGTGTCACTGAGTGCCGCTACCCTCCTCCACGTCACTCATATTCTTTAATTATTATTTTTTTCAATTGAGTGACGCTCTCCTCCCCTGGGGCACTCTCAGGATTGTGCCGAGTGACACAATTTCGTTAGTCGTGTTACCGTAAAACTTTGGAAAATCACAACTTTTGACTCGGGTATCCAAATCAGATATTTTTTTTATTTCACATAACTTTTCAAGATCTATGCAATGACACCTTATTTGACTATTTTATCGTTTACAAACATAGTTCAAACTGTAAAAAAAGTGAAACTATTGTTACAAACTTCAACTATGTTAATGGAAGATAAAATATGTCAAATGAGGTGTCATTGCGTAGATCTCAAAAAGTTATGTGAAATAAAAAAAATCATCTGATTTGGATACCCGAGTCAAAAGTTATGATTTTCCGGTATTTTACAGTAATGGGACTAATGAGATTGTGTCACTTAGCACAATTATGTGAGTGCCCCATGGGAGAGGGAGTCACTCAATTGAAAAAAAAAAAAAGAATGTGAATGACTCGGGGGGAGGTTAGCTGCACTCAGTGACTCTGGGTCCCTCTCGCATCACTAAATGACCCTCATTGGTAAATACCATGAATCAAATACCAAATTGATAAATTAAAAGGGTAAAAATCCCAAATGGGTCAAAGAACCTACTTCTTTTCTATTTTATTGGTTATTCTTTTGATATGTTATATCCAACACCTGTACGTGGAGCGAATATAATGTGATCCGGGATCAATGCACGCGTTGAGAGAGTGAGAGGAGGAGAGAGAGAGAGAGAGGAAGAGAGAGAAGGGGACTAGGGAATAAATTTCCCTGTACGTGACTAATGTATATTTCTAATACTATTATTGCGTTGATTAGCTATTGTAGGCCACTTTGTCTTAGTCTAGATTCCAAATATTAAAGTCTATGAAGTATCGACACTTTAAAAACTCTGACGTGTCGTGTCCGACACTTTCTAACACTCCAACATGAGTTACAGATATTCAAAAAAGGGATCAAATGTTGTATTACGTTACATTTTTAGTTCAAACTATTAGATTCATTGAATTACCATTATTATTTTATTGATTTTAATATAAATATTTGGAATATCTTATGTATCTTTGCAAAATTAATGGGTATTAGCTTTATTTTTTTATAAACTATTGAATATTAAATATAATATATACTAACATGTCAAAATTTAATATTTTTTAGAATTAACGTGTCAAAGTGTTATGTCGTGTTATATCTCATGTTTCATATCGATATCGGTGTATAATAAATTGTTTGTCACCGTACCTTTACATGATCTAGATAGGTTGAAGAATTTTTGTTGTTGTTGGCTTAATACTGTTGTGCGCCAAATGCTTTAATAGGTTGAGATAAAAAGGGTTGGAATGGAATGGTTAAGAATATAAAAAACTAATAAAGTGCAGTACCTATAATGGTTGCTAATTGATCAAATTACAAAGTCGTGGTCAGTGCAGTTTTATTAATAAAATAATGAATCCAAAGTAGTATACTCAGTTTCTTGGGTAAATCTCACTGACATATATATATACCTGAATAGCAGTCATCGAAATTTGTTTTTTGTACTCTTGGATGGGAATATAGTTGTTTGGTCATGCGGTGATGCATTTATAAACTGAGCCAAATATTTTGTGATGTATTTTATTTACACGGTAAAATATCCCACACATCATTACCTTCCGTTAATCCATTAGATTTATTTTTATTATTGTTATTATTCAGTATCACTTGCAGACCGCTTTGAGGTGTAAGTAGTTTAGATGGAGGTTAAATGAGACATGGTATTGTTGTCATCCTATTAGCATTTCTGATGTATTGTGTGAATTGAATAAGTAATTTAAAAAAAAAAAGCGCAAAAGACAAATTTATCAGTATTTCAAAATAAAATTTAAAATAATAGGAATGATATAACTGTGACGATTTGTTAATCTCGTGTATTTTGTTTCATTTTAGCCGAGATGACTTGGTGATTCAAAATTTACCTAGAAAATTTATAATAATGAAACTTATAACACTAAGATTATTACAAGGAGATAATTTAGCCGTAACGATTTGTTAATTCCGTGTACTTTATTTTAGTTTATTTTAGTTGTGACAGTTTGGTGATTCAAAATTCATTTAAATTCAGTAAAAATATATAATAAAAAATAATATGAAATTTATATTAAAAGGGGTAACTTAGCCGAGACGGTTTGTCAACCCTACGCATTTCGTTAGCTTTATTTTAGCTATGACAACTTAATAATCCAAACTTTCAAATCCAAAACTTTTGATTGAATTCCCTTGAAATTATTTTCAAAAATAAAATCAACTAACACACAAATATTTTACAGAACGACGTAGCGTTGAGTTTCCTATTGTACCAAGAGATAAGTCGGAGACGTTTCGCGTCAAGCACAAAAATAATTTCCAAAATTAGTTTTCCTTTCTTGAATCAATGTTATTTAATTCTTTGAGGTGAAACAAATATTTAAATTTTTTTATTAATATTTTGCATGATTAATATAAGGTAACCGTCTTTTAAACGGACGATGTAGGGTGCTAACACCTTACCTACTCATAATCCATTTCTGTTTTCAAATATCAATTTTCTTTAATAAAAGATTTATCCAATATTTTTCTAAATAAATTTTGGTGGCAACTCCATTGTTTTAATCATTGAATATCTTTTTCCGTCACATCACGATCCAGTTGCGACACTTATATATATATATTTTTTTTTTGTGTTGGCAGTCTTCATTAAATTTAAATTTTTTTATTTCTTTCTAAATAGGTGGTATCAACTAATTCTTCAACAGCTAGTCCCAATTATTCAAATCACTATAATTTTAATATTTTGTGATATTATTATTTAATTTGTTTAAGAACAATTTATAAATAATTATTTGTGATAAAATGTAATTTTCTTCTACATAGCTACTTGTCAAGTGTCAACTAATTCTTCAAAGGCCCCAATTATTTTTTTTTATTTTTAAAGGAAAAAGTTCACCAATACCCATGTGGTTTGTTTCAGAATCACCTGATTTTTTATTTTTTACAAACTATAAAGACATATGTGATAAAAATAAAATCACTGGGGTATAGATAATTCTTGAGTAAACCACAAGGGCATTGATGAACTTTTTTTCATTTTTAAATTCAAATTATTTATATTGATTATACATATTTTTCTTATAAGTTTAAATATTTTAATTTATTTTAACCATTTATTCAATTGAGGGGACCACGATCAGTTTTTTCTTCTTTTGACTCTTCTTTCTTTTTTTCTTTTTTTAATTACGACCAATCAGTGGTCAAACAACGTGTCATCGAAGGTATAGCGACCTATGCTCCTGAAAATTTCATGTAATTAAATTGTATTTTAAAGTAAACTTTAATTTTCAGTTATTAAATTAATGGGAAAATATTTCTGCAGTTACTGCAGATAAGGTATCTATAATTATTCTTCAAACGACGTTGTTTTGATATTGAAATCTTAAAAAATTATAAATATAAAGATTATTATAACTTTAAAATAAATTAAAATTACAAAAAACACTATAATTTCTGCATAAAACGAAGTCGTATTAAATTTACTGCAGATAACTTATCTGCAATAGCCTGGAAGAAAAAATTAACCCTTAAATCAATCAATTGTACGTTTTTTTTTTTTTTTCGGTAAACAATCAAATGTACGCTTTGTTGTGTCTTTTATTGACGTCTTTTTGTGATGATAGATAATGTTTGATGCGCTATGATATTGAACAAATAAAATTTCATTTTTTTGTGCCAACATGTTCTGTCCGTATAATTTTATAATTCAAAATGCTCTGATATTTTTTCTTCATTACTATTTATATACTCGATATATATTTAAATATTTTGAATTATTAAAACACGTTCTTTATTTTAAAAGAAAATTATTCCATTTTTTAAAAAAGTAGTGTATCGTAATTGAGTTTATAAATTTATTTTTAATATATCCGTTCCTTTATTTAAATTATCTTTACTTAATTACTAATAATTAAATAGGACTTAATTGTTCATAACTTACATTTAAATTTTCAATTCAAAAACCAATAATTCATATTAGTTTATAACGAAATGAAAATTCAGGACACTACCACAATATATATCCTAATATAGAATTAAACATAAGGTACGACTAGTCATCACAATGACTTCATAGAAGCTTCTTCTCAATTGTTTTCTAAACCATGGAATCAGACGACTTCCTTCTAAAAAAAGGGTTTTTACCTATAATATCTCTCCTCATTCCAAAGTTTTAAAGTTCAAATGATGGAAAATGAAGACGCCTGTTTTTGTCGTTGTGCTAAATAAACTAAAAACTAAGCCTTAACATCAAATTTTAATCTAAAACTTTACAAAATATAGTTTATTATGAGTATTTTCAGTGGCATATTCTCAGCTTGATCCATTCCTAATTAACTTTGCAGTTAATTACGCACACTTAATTCCCAAACATTAAATGATAACGATTCAAAGTCCCAATAGCTTAAGGATAGCTAAGTTGGCAATTGAGCTTTCAATTCAAGGATTTGCTTGGATCAGAGGTTCAAATACTGTCGCAAATTCTTGAAAAATCTTTAAAGGCAAATGACGTGTCTCTCTCCATAAATGGGAGATTAGTCTCATCCTTCCTCCTCCGATAGCGAAACTCAATGCACGTTCCTACGAGGAGTAGCCTTCTGGCCTTAAAGTCTACGGTCAACCTTCTACAAACTAAGGTGTTAGGTCAAGTTTGCATGGTTTTATATATCGCATAAACAAAAGTACCCAAACTCACACCTACTCACTTGGTTCCCAACTTTCCTCGCTCCCCAATCTTAGCTTATAAATTCTTCCATTCATTCCCTTCGCTCTCTTCATCCCACTTTTGTTAGAGTGACAACAACATCTCATAACCACCAAAACATGGCAACCCAATACCTCATCTTCTTCCTTCTCCTCTCTTCCTATACACTCACCTCTGTCTCCACAGAAGAAACCGGTTTCGTGCGTTCACTAGACCGCGAGATGATGGCCATGGAAAAGAAAGAAAAAATAAGCCACTTCAGATTCTATTGGCAAGACATCGTTGGTGGAAACAACGCTACCTCAGTTGTAATTGTTCCACCACTCCCTAAGTATAACCCTGCCAATGCCTTTGGTATGGTTAGAATCATTGACAACGCTTTGACCTTAGGACCAGAACTAAGTTCAAAGCTTGTTGGAAGAGCTGAAGGGTTTTATGCATCTACATCACAGACAGAGCTTGATCTTCTTATGGTTATGAGCTTTGCCTTGTTTGAAGGGAGGTATAATGGTAGCAGCATCACAATCGTGGGGAGGAACGTTGCTTATAACACGGTTAGGGAGTTGCCTGTGATTGGTGGCAGTGGTGTTTTCAGGTTTGCTAAGGGATATGCTGAAGCTAGGACTCACTTTTTTGATCCTAAAACTCAGGATACTGTTGTTGAGTACAACGTTTATGTTTTTCATTATTGATGTCACACTGTTTCTTAGTTTCCTCTTTTGAGGTCATGTATCTGCTGCTTTTTTGCTTTTCCTGTGGAGGTTAACCTCGTGAACCCACTCCTTGTTTATTTGTATTTGGAATGATAATTTGAATAAAAATAATTTATGCTTACTCACTAGAGATAAGTATATAAGTTTGATTCAAATAATATTGTGTAAAATAATCCATTGAAGCCAAAAGTTTAAATTGATAAGTGATGGTTCATCAAAGGTTTTTATATTATATCTCTAAAATAAAAGTAGAGCGGTGAGAATCAACTTGGTGACTTTTGAGGACTATGATACCATGTAAAACAAATATTTCACCTAAAAGTTTGAACTAATAAGTGAACATCCATAAAAAAAAGTATATATTATATATCTCTGATGATCTCACAGCTAAAAGAGCATGACAGTTATTTATTTCATGTGTTGATTTTGTTTGAGTATTGACCGAGTATATATCTTGTACTTATCCATTTTAATTTCAATGTATTATGTTACCACCTACTTTAAAACTTATTTACAATTGTGTTTTCTTGAATTAATTGGTCGACAAGGAAGAAGTCGTCTCGAATAGACATTAACAATTTAAAATGCTAGTAGAAAACTAATTTTTAGTCAAATGAGTTTGCCATACGCTTCGTCAAGTCAGATAAGATATGCTCAATTTTATAAAGTGCAATGTATGTATAATTGAATTTTATGCCATATACGAATTTATAATTTTAAATTATATCTCGAATAATAGATGCATTGCTACGTATAGAATTTATTGTGAGTCTAGGTCTATGTTAACATTACTTTTGCCTAAATAAGCTTTAATCATTTTTGCAAACTGATGGCCTTTGCCTATCTTTTATCCATGATTGAATTTTTGTTGTTTATTTGGGTTCAAACTTGCAAACATAAAAGCCTAGTTAAATTTGAACTTTTATTTAAGGGGTATGTTTTTCTCATGTTATATTAGATAACATACCCCTCCTACTCATACATTAAAAGGTGTGCTTGCATTTATTTATTTTTTTACTTTTTTTTTAAAAAGTGGATCCCACATGCTTTGTGTCTATGGCATAAGATAGCAAATCTCATGCAACATAAGACTTGTATTTCCCTTTATTTAAAGGCCTACGTTATATAAATGTAAAACAAGAGAGAGAGAGAAAAAACTTTATATAGTTAATAAAGAAGCTATCATGGTTTTATATATTGGAAAAATATATATCATTTTAAAGGATATAAAGTTGTGTCATTTTAAGTGAGTAAAAGAGATAAATCCTGGAAGAGAAAATGGAAAGAAAAAGTTTTAAGGATATGAGTCTCACCTCTTTGTGAGAGTGAAAGGATGTATGATGTATCGTTTACAATAACACACATTTTTCCCTTTATATATATATATATATATATATATATATATATATATATATATATATATAAAGAAATCATGAATTTATGGAAGCATTTTAAAAAAAAAAAAAAAAATTTGACTCTCATAAATTTAAGGAGACTGTTATGTTGAATATTTAAGATCTCTACACTGGGCTAGCCCACTTTTACATTTAGCCCATGGCCCAATCCATTTCTTTTGTTTCAATAAATTATATATATGAGATTAATATTTTTCATGTAGGAAATAATTTTATCTTTTATATATATATATATATATATATATATATATATATATATATATATATAGGGGTGTTCGCGGTCTGGATTGGATCGGTTTGGAAGCAAAACTCATCTGATCCAATCCCTTCGGTTTGATCATGTAATCATCCATTCGGTTTAGATTTTTTTTCAAATCCGATCCGATCCAATCCAATTTTTTTCGGTTTGGATTGAGTCGGTGTTCGGTTTTTTGAATATCCTAAAATTAGTTTCATGATTATTGTGCAAATAACATCTTTTGTATATATTGGCTTCGTAAAAAAAAATTTGAAATACAAAAATATCAGTAAACAATACTATAGTTGATGAGATGTGACTAAGTTTTTCTTGGGTTTACACTACAGGGAATTTGGGGTTTAACGTCGGTTATTTTAATGAGCGGAGGTGGTTTAAACAGCCAGCAAAAATTTTGACGTCACTTTAAAAACCGCCTGTGAAAATGGGGCCACTAAATCCATTTGCACGATTTGGAGTCAATTTTCTCAACCGACGGAATAACCGCCGTTGAGCTTTAGCTTAAAATTAAAAAAAAAAAGCAGCAAAAACAGCTGCTTTTATTTGTGCAGAAGCCAAATAATCAAATCTAAGTTAAGACACATTAAAGGCATTACAACTGATTCTTTAAAAACCACATCAAAGGCATTATAATTGATTCTTTAAAAACAAAACCAAACCAAAATTAGATTCTTGTAAAAGATTAGTTATTATTGTTTTTCATCTGAGAACCAATGGCAACCTCTTTCGTCCAAAGAAGATCTTTAGAATACAGATAATCTAAAAGGAAAGTGAAAGGGCTTTTCAGCTCTACACAAACTATTGACTCCATCCTAATACTATCTTCTGAGCTGCAAGAGCTTCAGCCTCTAGAGTTGGTTCCCATAATAGTATAGTCTCTGCCAGTAATGATGTCACCACATATGGATGCCCGGACGCCTATCTTCCAAGTAACCTATGATCAAGATGTAAACAAAGAAATTAATGAAAAATTTGATTGGGTGAATTGTGTGACTAAGTTATGGCTAAATATCCAGGTGAATACAGGTGCCAAAAATAATATGATACAGAGTTGCTTCCTTGCAGAAACACCAAAGTGCCCCATAGTCTCTCTCTATATATATATATAAATAATATGAGAATAGAAGCACTGCCACCAGTAAAGCTAGAGCAGCAAAACATACTAAACCAAGTAAGAAATTATAATAAAAAAGGTGCTCAATGATAACCAATTAACCACGTACCCTCAGTTTCATATTAGGAGCAAGAGCTTGAGGAGGAATAACTGAAGTCAATTCGCACAAGACTTGAAAAAGGGTATTCTAATATATTATAGAATTGTAAATAATCTGTACAAAGGGTTCTCTATTTATAGAGAATATTTGACCTACTTTTAACCTAATGGGCTTGGCCCAATACAACAAAGGGCTTGACCCAATACAACAATAAATGACTAAATAAAAACTAAATAATAACTAAATCAATATTATTTACAACACTCCCCCTCAAGCTGAGGAATAAATATTTATCATTCCCAGCTTGCTAGTAAGTTCTTGAAATCTGTCTGAAGGAAGCCCCTTTGTTAATAGATCAGCCAATTGACGCCCAGTGGGAATGTATGGAGTGGTAATCAACCCGCTATCAAGTTTCTCTTTGATGAAATGGCGGTCAACCTCAATATGTTTAGTCCGATCATGTTGAACTGGATTATGAGCTATACAAATAGCGGACTTATTATCACATAGCAGCTTCATAGGTCCCTCACATTTTATTTTGAGATCATCAAGAACAATTTTCAGCCACAGTAACTCACAAATGCCTTGAGCCATAGCTCGAAATTCAGCTTCTGCACTTGATCTGGCAACCACATCTTGTTTCTTACTTCTCCATGTCACCAAGTTACCGCAAAGAAACATGCAATAACCAGTGGTAGAACGACGGTCAGTCACGGATCCAGCATAATCAGCATCTGTGTAGACTTCTAAAGATAGATTGCCATCACGTCGGAATAACAATCCTTTACCAGGAGTACCTTTAAGATACTGAAGAATTCTCTCTACTGCCTGCATGTGTTTTTCTTTTGGATCGTGCATAAACTGACTGACAACACTAACAGCATAAGTTAGGTCTGGTCTAGTATGGGCCAGATATATCAATTTCCCAACTAGCCGTTAATATTGTCCTTTATCAACTGGAGGACTCTCTACTTCATAGCCCATCTTGTGATTCTGCTCAATAGGAGTATTAGAGGGTTTACACCCGAGTTTTCCTGTTTCTTTGAGAAGATCAAGAACATATTTCCTCTGGCTGATAAAAATTCATTTGCTTGAATGAGCTACTTCTATTCCTAGGAAATATCTCAGTTTCCCAAGGTCTTTGATTTCAAACTCAGAGGCAAGCCGTGTTTGCAGAATCTGTCTCTCCACAAAATCATCACATGTGATAATAATATCATCAACATATACAAGGAGCACAGTAAGCTTCCCATTTTGGGAGTGCTTGAAGAAAAGAGTGTGATCTCCTTGGCTCTGTCTGTATCCTAAGGTCATCATAACCTTAGTAAATCTTCCAAACCAAGCACGAGGTGACTGCTTCAATCCATACAAGGCCTTTTTTAATCTACAAACTTTATTTTGCCCCTTCACAGAATCAAAACCAGGCGGGATTTCCATGTAGACTTCTTCTTCTAACTCACCATTGAGGAAAGCATTTTTCACATCAAATTGATTTATATCCCAATTGTAATGGGCAGCAAGGGATAACAAGATTCTCACTGTATTCATCTTTGCAACTGGAGCAAAGGTTTCTTCATAATCAATGCCATAGGTTTGAGTGTAACCTTTGGCCACTAATCGAGCCTTATATCTCTCAAGAGTGCCATCAGAATTATATTTCAGGGTATAAACCCATCTGCACCCTACTGCTTTCTTTCCGTTGGGTCTATCAATAACCTCCCATGTTTTATTTTTCTCCAAAGCATTCATCTCCTCTTGCATGGCTTGAGCCCAATTCCTATCTTTCAAGGCTTCATGTACTGATTTTGGGATTGCAATAGAATCTAGTGCTGAAACAAAGCTTTTGTGCTGCACAGAAAGATTAGCAGAGGAAACAAAGTGGGAGATAGGGTATTGAGTACAAGAGGGACAGGAGGAACAAGTTTTCTTGTGACAAGATCTTTTTCCTTTTCTAAGAGCAATAGGTAAGTCATCAGAAGTAGAAGCAATGGGTAAGTCATTAGAGATATCAGAAGAAATAGACAAATCATGAGAGGAAATAATATTAGAATCAGAAACAGGAGATTCAGAAGAAATAGGAGATTCAGGACTTACCAGTGGTTCAGACGATTGAGGTTGCTGGTGAGACAGTATGGGTTGTATCTCAGGTGTATTTGAAGGTTCTGACACACCAGGAGCAGACACACTAGGAAGAGAGAAGATTGATCCAGACTCAAAGAAGGAAGGGGACGAGTCTTCTGAAGAACTATTCTCCCCCTGACGATGAGGACCCAGGAAATAAGATTCAGATTCTTGAAAGGTGACATCCATAGAAACAAAAAATTTCCGACTTGGTGGATGATAACACTTGTACCCTTTTTTATAAGGGTTATAACCAAGGAAGACACACTTAAGAGCCCTAGGATCCAACTTACTCCGATGTTGTTTATGAACATGGACAAAAGCAACACATCCAAACACTCTTGGTAGAAGGCTCTGCAATATGGGAACAGAAGGAAAGAAGGAAGTCATGGAATGAATAGGACTGATATTGTTAAGGACCCGTGAAGGTAAACGGTTGATCAAAAAAGTTGCAGCTAATACTGCTTCTCCCCAATAAGAACTAGGAACAGATGTCTGAAAAAGTAGTGCTCTAGCAACTTCAAGAAGGTGACGATTTTTCCTTTCAGCAACCCCGTTTTGTTGAGGGGTATCAACACATGTGAGCTCATGAATCATACCTCTGTCTGAAATGAATTGTGACAGGCGTTGATTGACGTACTCAGTACCATTATCAGATCTGAGTCTTTTAATACCCTTACCAAACTGAGTCTCAACCATGTAATGAAACCGAATAAATATCTCTGGTACTTCATACTTGTCTTTCATCAAGTATATCCATGTTATCCGAGTACAATCGTCAATAAAAGAAACAAACCACCTAGCACCTGAAACACTGTGCACTTTAGAAGGGCCCCAAACATCAGAATGGATAAGAGAAAAAGGTTCTCTGCTTTTAATAGTGCTAGAAAGAAATGACACTCGATGGTGTTTTGCAAATTCACAAACATCACAATGAAAGGTCTCAACCGACTTATTGAGAAACAGATAGGGGAACATAGACTTCAAAAGACTAAATGGTGGATGCCCGAGACGCTTGTGATGGAGCCAAATCATAGACTCTGCAGTAGAGGGATGACGTGTCATTAATAACTGATTTTTGCTAGCATGGTCTGGAAGGAGATGATACAACCCATCCTGTTCATTAGCAACTCCAATTGTCTTCTTCGTGGTAAGATCCTGAATAAGACAATGAGAAGGAAAAAATGTGATAGAACAATTCAAATCAATTGTAAGTTTTTGAGTGGAGATAAGATTAGTAGAAAGCTGAGGAACATAAAGAACATTTTTAAGAAACAAGAAAGGTTGAATTTGAATGTTACCAGAACCAATAACTGATTTATGGGATCCATCAGCTACGGATATAGTATGACTACCAACAGTAGGATGATAAGAACAAAATAACTCAGTACGACAAGCCATATGATCAGTTGCACCAGAATCCAAAATCCATGAGGTTTTAAAATCAGTGCAAGAAGCAAGAAGAGATATAGAACGTGTGCTCTTACCAGATAAGATCGAAGAACTATCATGCTCAGCCATTCTTTAACAAAAAAAGTTAACAACCAGCGATAAAATCAACCAAACAGAATATCAAATGACCTCTGATCAGAAAAATAATTATAGATCGAGACAGAAGACAAGAAGACGAGAAGAATGGTGGTGGTCCGGTCCAAAAACACGGCCGCACGCGCCTCCACGCGCCGGAGAAAGGAGCTGCGCGTGGGATTCACTCGCCGGGAAAGGGGCGGCGCGTGAGAGTGCGTGGATGGGCTTCGCCGGCTGAGATTTTTATGGTGTGGTCGTCCGGTGAGCGCACACCTGTCTGTGGGTGGTCGCGGTTGAAAAGTCGCCGGAAAGTGGTCCAAACGGTGAAGACAGATCTGATTGGAGGCGATCGGAGGTGTTTCGGTCGTTTGTGGCGGAGGAACACTGCGTAGAATGATAGATCGGAGAAAAAATAAGGTCAACAATGGTCCCCTTGGTCCAAAAGGTCCCTGGAAAAATTTTCCGGTGGCGGCTAATGGCGGCAAGAGGCAAAGAAATTAGGGTTTTGTTAAAAAAGAAGATAATATGTGCGGAAGCAAAGCCCTCAGATCGAGAGCTCTGATACCAACTTGAAAAAAGGTATTCTAATATATTATAGAATTGTAAATAATCTGTACAAAGGGTTCTCTATTTATAGAGAATATTTGACCTACTTTTAACCTAATAGGCTTGGCCCAATACAACAAAGGGCTTGACCCAATACAACAATAAATGACTAAATAAAAACTAAATAATAACTAAATCAATATTATTTACAACAATAAGTGGGATGTTCAATTTCCCTAACAAAAGTTTAAATAAAAAAAATCTTCATATGTATAATGAAGATGGTGCATTATCACATTATTAAGTAAAAAATAAGAAACATAAAGCCACCAAAGGTGAGAGAAAACTACATACCATAGTGAGAATCTTTGACGCAGGTTAAAATATCAAAGGTTTGGAGCTCGAGGATGACACCAAGAAGCCACATTGTGGTCGAAACTGGCTTTATACGCCGCAGCTCCTGAGAATCAAAAGGATGCAGCAATAATTAAATTAATAATTCATGCTAAGTCTCTCCAGCTACCAAGAGATTTTTCACAGAATCAAAAATATCCAAGTGTTAGCTCCACTACCACACCTTAAAGGAGACTGTGTCCCATATTTCTAATTACTTATCTGCACCAATTGTAATTAACTAATGAAATGTGCATGCATGGAATCGGTACATATGTACAAATAATCAACCACGGAAAACATAGTAACTAGAAATTGTAATTTTCTAATAATTTATCTAGATGGACGCAACGCTGCAGCAAATAGTGCTGGAACTAGTAATGCAAGTGCAATTATAAATATAAACCAAAGAAATTAGAACTCTAAACTAGCAACACTGCAGTAAATAATATAAACCAGCTTTTTCTAGCAATGCATCAGCTTCTGCAGGACCTCTGCTTCCAGGTTTGTAAGGGATTGGCTTGAACTCCCTTTTATCAATGTGATGCAAAAGTGGGGTGAAGATCTCCCAAGATGCCTGATAAGAGATAAAAAAACACAACTATTAAAGTTGTGAATCAATACCCTTTTGCAATAGTCTATGAAGCATATAATGATCTTTACCTTCAACTCATCTCTTCGAACAAAATGTTGCTGATCACCTTTAATTCTGTAAAACATATTCCAAATCCAATTACTGTTCATTCAATTCTATTTCTTTTAAATAACTGAATTGATTGCTAAGTAATTCATGTAATCCAAATTCTAGTATATATACTTTTTAGCACCTTGAGACGTTTATATATAGAAACAACATACAAGCCATAAACATGAACTAGGAAAAGTAGCATACGTGTCAAGAATTAGACGCTCATAAGCCTCTGGAATGGTTATGCCTTGATAGGGTTGCCTATATGACAAATCTAGTTCACTTTGAACTGTGGACATCTCCAGTCCAGGTTGCTTGACCTGCATGAGACATTGAACTTGTCAGTCCAATCTCAGAAACATCATTAAATTATTTTAGCATTTTATGGCCATATCTTAACGAATTTAAGATATAAATTTCTTTCATTATCACAAGATAACAGGTAAACTCAAACACTATTAGGGTTCTGTGGGTGTAGGAAACACCACTTCAACAATTACATATAGCAATTTCCTTTCCACACCATCCACATGCATGCTACACATGTGGCTGGACTTTACTAACTCAATTGGTGCATTGCCACCAAGTGGCAACCAGGTCATCCCCCTCCTTGCGTGCATGTACGCCACATGCTTAGCTAAGTTGACACTTGACACCCTCTCATTCTCCACGGTAAAACACCATTGACCAACATCTCATCAATTCAAAATTTTGCATCTTCAAACACATTCACGGTAAAGACTCTCAAGGAACCCACACATGGCCAAGCTTTCCCAACCCACGCAATGCATGCCCTCCAAGTGTCAAGTAAGACCGCCACCTAGCCAGCATTTGGACAAATTGCAAATCCATTTATTTTCAGTCAAAACACATTTGACTACATTCACTTTCTTGTTGTTCATCTTTTGTACCGAAGACTATCATCCACCTCCATTGATATCGTTTTCAAACTTTCCCCAAGCAAGAACATACCACCAAGTTCTCACCACCTCTAGCTTATTTCTCCATTTCTCAACCGAAGCCAACATCTACTTCTCCATTAATTTTTCCATAGCCGAAACAGACTAGCTAGGAGAGTGACCTCAAACTTGGGTTCTTTAAGCTTACAACTCACATGCAAAGCCACATTTCTTTCAAACTCCAAGCCGTGAGTCTCATATTGAAGTTGAAGTTGAAGTTATAGTTCATTCATTCCTCATCCATTTTGGCCGAAGATTTAAAAGGAGGAGGCACGAACCCTTGCTAAGAGCTTCAAGAAGGGGAAACAAGGAACTATAACTAGGAAAAAACACTGATTTGTTTGAAAAGTGGGAAGGTAAATTCTAGCCTTGTGTGTGTTCCCCTCGCTTACGGGTATGGTGATTAAAGAAGGGTTAAGGATTTACAAGAACATTCTGTAGTCCTAGTAAGAGGGGGAAGGGTTAAGGATTTACCCGGCGTGAGATATCACATTGTTCGAGGAACTCGAAAATTTTAGTGGTTATAGCCCTGACTTAGCCAATTAATTCAGGTTTTTATGGAATGAAATTCTGTTTATTCATTGTATAATAATGGGAATTAGGAACTCTATTAGTTATGTCACCCTCGGCTGTGTTAGGAATATAGGAGTACTTCTTTGTGTGCCCTGTTTTGTTGAATCCAACCAATTGGCTAATGACATATGAAGGAATACATAATTAAATATGCAATATGAAATTCACAAATTCTTGTGAAATGTGAATAAAACACGAAAGAAAACTACAAGTGACATTATTTATTATATATATTTCATAAAAAATGGAAAATGAGATACTACAAACCATGAAAAATTGTTAAATACATTACTTACAACTAAAGGTGTGGTTGATTGCTCACGATGCAGATTCGGAGCTTGCGCCATCGAAACCAGATTCTAAGCCTGTGACAAGAAAGCTCATGTTGCTGGAATAAAATAGCGAAAAATCCAAAAAAAAGGAAAATCAAAAAATAAAATTTAAATCTGAAGCAGGTTAAAGAACAATATCTATAAAGAACAATGACTGAGCTCAACACAAAATTTTAAAATGAAGATAAGGAATTAACTTAGGGTTTATGGCATGGGAGATTTCGAATTGAATCAGCTTCGATGCAAAATCGCAAATCTAATAAGGATTGGGAAGGAGTTCTTACATACCAATAACAATGGTAAGATTTACCGCAAACAATTTCCCTTCTCTGAGGTCCAAAATATCTCGCTTGCTTGAGAATCAGAAAAAAGTATATCGCAATTGAAATGATTGACAAAATTTAAATGTTGAGATTTTTAGATAAATGTGAAGTGTAAGAGTGGAAGAGTGCCTTGTGGAAAGTGAAAGAGAAAGGGCGTGGTGTGATTTTGTAAATGGTTATATTAACCCGGTTAAATTTATCATTTAAAATGCAGGCGGTTATATAAACCCGCCATTAGTAAACGGCCACAAAAATGCGAATTTGTTGTAGTGTTAGTTGACGAATTAATGAGTCTTGAGTTTAGAAATTTTTGGGTTATAATTAGGGAAATGACAAGTAGGTAGAGAATTATTAATATATTGGATCGGTTTGGATTGGATCGGTTTTTATCAACCCATCCGAAAACCGATTCAATCCAATTAAAATTTCCGATTTTTTTTTGGTTTTTGGTTTTTCGGTTTTCGATTTATTCGGTTATCGGTTTTTCGGTTCGGTTGATGAACATCCCTATATATATATATAAATATGTGAGCTTCATATGAGATTATATGAAGAAAAAAAAAAAGAAAAAAAAAATATAGGTCTCGTATATTTTTATATATATATGTAAAATATAAAGTTGTCTGTTATAGCATGAGAAACTATTAGGTATACATTTACGACTTTTTGACCCTTTTATCTTTCATTAATTAATTAATAATTATTTTGTCCAATATCCAAAATTATCTACTAATTTGTTCCTCTTTAATCGATTAACTTGAAGATTTAATCGATTAAATCTTCCAGTCACATTATTTTTGTCAATTTTGACCATTTAATCGATTAAATCTTTAAGTTAATCGATTAAAGATGGACAGAGTGATAGATAATTTTGAATAAGGAACAAAATAGTTATTAATTAATTAATGAAGAGTAAAAGAGTCCAAAAAATCATACATTTTCCAAGTATAATATTACTCTCGCGCTTGCCCGTGCTGACTGGTGCCATTTTCTTCACGGTTCTTCATTGTAAAACGCTTATATTTAAATTTCAAAGTCAACTTGCTATTATGGCATCGCTGTCTGCCGTGCAAGTCATTTTCTCTTGTAATATGTTTATTTCCTGGAGATATAGCTCTGGCTCTGGGTCCGTCAAAAGAGCAATGCTTCTAGAATAATATGGATCTATTTGGTGGCCTCAGCAGTGGAGATAATAACTCCTTTGCTTTCAAAGAAATTAAAGGGAGTTTTCAAAACAAAATTTTTTTTTTTTAAGGGAAAGAATATTAATTGGTAGGTAAATGGTCACAGCATGACTTCAGGGATTAATCAAGAAGTTAATTTACATTATAATGGGATTAATTTTTATGGATGATATTGATTTAGTCTCTTACGTTATTTCTTTTTTTATTTTTTGTGTGGGCACTCTTCATTATATTTTAATTTTTTTTAATTCTTCTAAATAGCTACTTGTCAACTAATTCTTCAACAGCTAGTCCCAATGATTCAAATCACTAATTTTAATATTTTGTGATATTATTATTGATTTTGTTTAAGAGCAATTTATAAATAATTATCTGCGATGAAATGTAATTTTCTTCTAAATAGCTACTCGTCAACTAATTCTTCAACGCCCCCATAATTATTTAAGGGAAAAAATATTATAACAACCAATTAGTGTTACTATCAAGTTTACCACCAATCAATTTCATCGTTAGATCGATTATGTTGATCCAACAGTTATATTTATTTCCATCTTTGTATGGTTATGATTTCTCATATTTAATGTGAAAGAGATCATAACCATACAAAGAAAAAAATAAATGTAAAGTATTAAATATAGGGAATCATAACCATACAGATATGAAAATAAATATAATCGTTGGATCAACATAATTGATCTAACGGTGAAATTGATTGGTAGTAACACTAGTTGGTTGTTACAATATACTTCCCCATTATTTAATCACAAATTATTATTTAGAGTAAAGACCCAAATTGGTCCCTGACAAAAAACTCGGTGCCCAAATTAGTCCCTCACAAAAATAAATTCGTTGGATAGTCCCCAACAAAGTGAAACAGGACCCACGTTAGTCCTTCTGTCAATCTAAAACTCACGGTGTCAATGACGGTGATGATGTGTCACGTTAAGTGACATGCTGAAAGCCACGTGGGTTGAGGAACGACGTCGTTTTGAGAGTCTCATACACCTTGGACAGAAGAGTTTACTTTTATCCAAGGAACGTCGTCGTCTCAACATTTGGGGTTCTTCCTAAAACAGAAAGCAGGGGATTAAATCGAAGATTGAACCTGCGAATTTGGGGAAAATTGATTTACGATATAGTGATTGTGGGTTTATACTGATAACTTTAGGGTTCTTCTTAGTTTTTTTGTGATGAATAATTCTTTTGGAAGGGAGAGCTTAAGTAGTTCATTTGGGTCCAGAAGTGAAAGAAAGAGAGCTGCTCCATTGTGTAAATATGGGAGGAACAGTGCTGTTTACACCTCCAAGACCATTAGAAACCCTAATAGATCATTTTTTGGGTGCCCCAATTTCAAGGTGAGGTTTATTTTTTCATGCGTTCTTTTTTCTAATTTCAACATTATTAACTGTTTAGTTTAATTTGGTTTAGGAAAAGAAGTCACACTGTAACTTTTTTACATGGTTGGATGATGCTACATCTGATACCATGGAGCTGAAAGATTGAAGAATTAACAAGATCGAGCTGAATGTAGCTGAAATGGAATTCAAGTTGAATTTTTTGGACATGAAACTCAATGATGAACTGCAGCTGGAGGTGAACGAGAACAAAAAGAAGATTAATTACCACTATATAAAGATTGAAGACCTATCAATGAAGATGCAGGCAAAGATTGAAAGGGTTGAGAAGGAAATTATGCATGTATGTAGGTGTGTTAGGGTGTTTGTTGGATCCATTGTTGTTGTGTTTATAATATGTATTTATCTTGCTGGTTGGCTGGAGTGAAATAAAAAATGTGGTTTTGCTGAGAATTGCCTAAACCTTTAACCATTACATGTTGTATTTTTTTGGACTGTAAATATTTGTAATGGAAGGATCAATGTTGTAATGTTATGAGATGTTCTTCTTGCAATGTAAGTAATATGGTTTATGTTGTTGAAGTTTAGTTTTTTGGCACAATGTATAGTATAAGGTTGAATGACATGACATGCAACAAAGTTTAATGATACTGTGATGGAGGGAATTATGCAGAAGGGGGTAGACCAGTTGGTCTGCTAACACGTTTTGTGGCATTGGTGTTAGCTCATGGTTAACAGGGACTAAAATGGACCCCGATAAATTTGTTAAGGACTAATATGGTTTAATGATGAAGCAATGAAGGACTAAAAAGGTCCTCGATAAAAAATGTTGAGGACTAATAAGGGATATTAACTACTGATGGAGCTTGTTTAGTTATGATAAACATGAACCCAAATGTGACACAGCAAACAAATTTACGGCATCCTGTATTGACAGAAACAAGAAAGTGGTCCTACTGCAAGTACTAATCCAAGGATGGTTTGTTTCCCAATTCAAAAATTCAACATCCAAAAGAGAGCAATGACAGCAAACAGATAGTTACAAACAATATTCCCATTCATTTCATCACCAGATAGTTACAATTTCAAAAAAACAACTGACATAATATACCATTAAGACCAACACAATAGTCTTCCAAGAAAATAAAGTTTCCCACTTAATATGGCCATAACCATAGGCATACAAAAAAAATCCATCTGACACATTTGAGCAGGGCCAAAACCAAAGTAATTCCAAATAATTGGCCTAATTACAATTCCAATGAATTCCTATATCAGAGCCATACAAAAAAAGGCCTAATGTCAATGATTGTGGAGTATTCCAATCATTTATGTGGGGCTGGCCTAGGTGGGGGGTGACTTGCAATTTGTAAGTGGATCCGGGGTTGCTCCTCAACAGCTCAGCAAGATATTCTCTTAGTCTTCCATATTGTTCCTTCTCACAACCTTCAATGGTTCCCTTTGCTTTTTTCAAAGCCTTGCTTACTTTCTTCATATTCAAATGAACATTGTATTCCTTCTTCATGTGCTTAAATGCCTCTGACCTGGACATATTGGGTTGTGGCTTCTTTTCCTAAACCAAATTAAACTAAACAGTTAATAATGTTGAAATTAGAAAAAAGAACGCATCACAAAATAAACCTCACCTTGAAATTGGGGCACCCAAAAAATGATCTGTTAGGGTTTCTAATGGTCTTCTAGGTGTAAACAGCACTGTGCCTCCCACATATACACAATGGAGCAGCTCTCCTTCTTTCACTTCTGGACCCAAATGAACTACTTGAGCTCCCCCTTCCAGAAGAATTATTCATCGCATAAAAACTAAGAAGAACCCTAAAGTTATAAATATAAACCCACAATCACTATACAGTAAATCAATTTCCCCCAAATTCGTAGGTTCAATCTTCGATTTAATCCCCTGCTTTCTGGTTTAGGAAGAACCCTAAATGTTGAGACGACGACGTTCCTTGGATCAAAGTGAACTTATTCTGACCAACGTGGATGTGCTCTCTCCAAACGACGTAGTTTCTAATCCAACGTGGCATTCAACATGTCACTTGACGTGACACATCATCACCGTCATTGACACCGTGAGTTTTGGATTGACAGAAGGACTAACGTGGGTCCTGTTTCACTTTGTTGGGGACTATCCAACGAATTTATTTTTGTGAGGGACTAATTTGGACACCGAGTTTTTTGTCAGGGACCAATTTGGGTCTTTACTCTATTATTTATTAATTTCATTTAAAGGTGGAAAATTGAGCATCATTAAGAAAAAAAAAAGGGTGAAACAAGTTTTTCTCATAATCTTCAGCACAGTATATCTTAAAATAGTCATCCTTCCACTCACAAAAATGATATCGCAAGTTGGTGCGGAAAGAGATCCAACTGTAATGGGAATCATACACATTGAATAATCAAAAGAATGACTTTACTAAGGGTAAATTGGTACGTATGAATAACATTTCATACACATGAATGACGCCCTAGACATTTGGATGTAATTGGGTGGAAGCGACATGAATATGATTAAGAAGCGAGATAAGAAAAGAAGAAAAATGGAGACAAACACCTAATAAGAGAAAAAGTGAAGAATACATCATTAGAAAATATAACGAATTCTCATCTGTGTGAGTTGAGAAAACACGCTCATTCGCGATAATAGAAGAAATTAAATTCGCCATTCATGATATGTGGCTTTGTCCTTAGTCAAACGGACAATTGCTGCAATTTTGGAGACAGATTCTACAGAATTGTACTTGGACATAGAGTTTAAAATATCTTGATCAATCCAAGCAAGATTAGGAGCATCTCAACACCGAAAACTTGGTGAGCTCTCCTATTTAGCAACTTCCTAAAACAAACCATGACTGCCCTGAGGGAGGACGAAGTTGAACTTGAATCAGATGAAACATCAAATGAAGAAAAAGAAGGAAAAAAAACTAGCTGACATCTCGCCCAGTTTACGTTTTTTGAATGGATAACCCACATGATAAATGACATTTAAAGGTAGGGGACTTGAGTTGCGAAATACCCTAAGAGGCACATATTGAGGGATAGACTCCAACTCTAACTACTATAAATGACAATAGGTTCCCTGGACTTGGAAGGAACAAAGGTACTTAGGCCAGCTCTTTCTTGGACATTACTTTGTTGAGAAGGAGCCCTAGGTAACCCACGAGATCTACACTGGCCTCTGCGAGACGAAGAGTCACCTTCGTAACCCCTTAATGTAGGGGGAGGAGTTCGAAGAAGATTATCCTTCTCCCAAGGAGACATTCCTTCTCCAAACAACCACCACTCGCCGGTACTCATGGGTCTAACAAGCCTTGGTTTTGGGCTGGTGGAATAAGATCTCTCAACCATTCTAAAATAAGCAAAAAACAATTATGTTCAAAAGACATTTTTCGAACAATTGGAATATTATTCAACAAACCCAGAAAAAACCTATAAATGAGACAAACAAAAATGATGAATCAGACACGACCTAATACTCAAAATGAACAAACAACAATGTAGGATGCTAGAACTCAACTACAAGTTTGGAGAAAACCAGAAAAAGCCAGCATGCAAAGAAATTCTGGAAATGCAAGTATGAAAATAAACAAAGATAGAAAATGAAAAAAGAAACATACCTATTTGTTAGAGAATAATATAAATCATTAAAAAGGCCCTCACCAACACCTTAAGGTTTTGGGTTGAAGTGGTTCTTTATATAGTATCAGAGCTCCAGTGACCATAAGGTCACGATTTCGATCCTCATCGCCCCCACTTGTGAAATTAATAAAAAAGCACAAAAAAAAGGTAAACCAAAAAAATTGTGCCTGTGCAATATCCACACTTCAAGCCCAAAGGGCTCTTGTGTGAGGGGGTGTGATAGAGATTAATATAAATCATTAAAAAGACCCTCACCTAACACCTTAAGGTTTTGGGTTGAAGTGGCGCTTAATACTATTATGTATAGATGAAGCTCCTAAAGATCTTAAAGAGTAATGAAACACAAAGCAAGCAACTTAATCATGAACTAACGTGTCACAAAAAGAAATCAATAATGGCACAAAAATGATTACTGAAGAGGATGAGTTTTTGTGTTTCCAAAAGAAGAACAAGAGAAGAAAACAAAGCGGAAAATGAGGAATACTATTATTCCCTCCAAAAGGCCTCAAAGTTAGTAACATGAAAAGTAACATAGGGCATATGCGTAAAAGGCCATAAAAGATAAAACGATGGAAACAAAAGTGGGACGCATGTTAGCCTCTGAATCAAAGATTAACGCGTTATCCTACGCATAACAAAGGGAACATTAAATGCAACTCACGAATCAAAGTCACATCAACTGTTTCTGAAGCGATGAAATAATTGATTACCAACACCCACTCAAGTGCAACAAACAGTAGATACGTGACGTCATCTCACCACAAATGAATTTACATGAATGACAAAACATATATCTTGCATGAATATACATCTCGCTACTCATACTTTCAGCATAAGCAACAAGCTGAGTGACTTTTGACCCGAACTTGATATATGCGAGATAGAGGCTCAATTCAAGAACCACAAACTTACTTCCTTCATGTTGCCTTTTCCATCGCTAGTGCAAGAACAAATTTTAGATATTCTCTTCAGAAAAGATCTTCGTCCCAAGTCTCGTCATCCACCTGCTAACTTTATCAATTATACTATGGGGAAAATGTATATCATTTTAAAAGACATAAAGTTGTGTCATTTCAAGTGAGAGAAAGAGAAAAATAATGAGAGAATGAGTTTCCTATGTGTGTGTGTGTGTGTGTGTGTGTGTGTGTGTGTGTGAGGTAGGATCCTTTGACACCAGTGTCAAATTTAAAGTTTGACACCTCATCTAAGAACCGTTAGATCAAAAAAGATCAACAACTTTGATTTGTAAGCATGTGACACCATTGATCTTTTTTAATTTAACAGCTCTCAGATGAGATGTCAAATTTTAAATTTGATACCGATGTCAAAGAATATAAAGTTGTATCATTTTAATTGAGAGAAAGAAATAGATCATGGGGAAGAGAGTAGACAAAAAAAAAAATTCGGGATTCCCGGGAAACTGAATTTTTCTAAATTTTAAATTTTCGGATATTATCGTAAACTGGATGTAAAAATCATATTTTTAAAAATCGAGATTCCCAGATAAAAAAAAATTTCTCCTCTACCAAACGCCCCCTTAAGGAACCAAATCCATCCTACATATGAACCATGGGCATCTTGCCTACTTGGGTGACAAGCCAAAGGTAACTTAGTAACGAAGGAAATATCATTGCCGAGATCAACAACTTGACCCCCACATGAATCCAACAAATGAATGACAGCATCAGCTCGCTGCCACATCTACTAGGGCTAGCTTAACCATAGGCTTTTCACCCAAAGAATAGCCTGTGAAAGGCTACCACACTCCACCAATAGGAATGAATACCGCCATTGAAAGGCAGCATGAAGTATGGCATTCTTCTATATTACATCGATCCTTGAAAATTTGATGTCAATATAGCCCAAGTATGGACATCAATCCTTGAAAATTTGAACTATATTGAACATTGAACTGACTTGAGCGTTAGAATACCTTGTCGGTACCCTTCCAATCTCCTCAAACTGATCTAAACCAGGCACACCAGAACAACCATCTCACCAAGCAACCCATCATCTCGCCAAGCTTATCAACCATTCTCTTCATCAACATCCTTCACCTTCAATCTTGTAAGATCAGGCCCAGACTAGTATCTGTTGGATTAATCAACTATTTTATTGATTATTTCATTAATATGATTCGAGGCGGGATGATTCAAATCAAAACTCTTCAAACTAAATTTTAATTTAAAACATTTATATACTCTGCAATCAAACTTGAGTTTAGTCAAATATTTTCAATGATTAAAAAAATCATTTATTGTAAAAGAAAATTATTGCATTTTTTATAAGCAGTGTATCGTGATTGAGTCTGTAAATTTATTTTTAATATATAAGTTCTTTCATTTAAATTATCCTTACCTAATTATTATTATTTTTTGGTAATTAATTATTTTCAATTCAATAGGACTTAATTTTGCACAACTTACATTTAAATTTTCAATTCAAAAACCAATAATTCATATTCTTTTATAAGGAAATGAAAATTCATCAGGACACTACCACAATATATATCCTAATAAAGAATTAAACAGGAGACACGACTAGTCATCACAATGACTTCATACAAGATTCTTCCCAGTTGTTTTCTAAACCATGGGATCGGACGACTTCCTTCTAAAAAAAAGTTTTTTCTATAATATTTCTCCTTACAGAAAAGTTTTTTAGAGTTTAAATGATGGATAGTGAATATGTCTATTTTTGTCGTTGTACTAAATAAGCTAAAAATTAAGCCTTAACATCAAATTTTAATCTAAAACCTTAAAAAAAATTAAGTTTATTATAAGTATTTACAGTGGCATATTCTCTTCTTGATCCATTCCTAACTACTTTGCAGGCAATTACACACACTTAATTCTAATAGCTAGCTCAAATACAAAAGCTTTCATATATAGTAGCTAGCCTAAAGGATAGTGAACTATTTACAAAAAAAAAAAAAAAGGATAGTGAACTTGAGTTCTGAAAGCCGCAACTTCAAGAGAAGGTGGAGGGTTCGAACCCAATAAAACTTCGGACACCCGTAAAAAAATTAATAGCATATCATGAAATCTAGAATCAACCCTTCTACAAACTAAGGTGTGAGGTCAAATTTGCATGGTTTAATATATATCTCATAAACAAAAGTACCCAAACACACACCTACTCACTTGGTTCCCAACTTTCCTCCTCCCCAATCTCAGCTTATAAATTCTTCCATTCATTCTTTATTTCTCTACACTCTCTTCATCCCACTTTTGTTGCAGTAACAATAACACTTCTCATAACCACAAAAACATGGTCACTCAATACCTCATCTTCTTCCTTCTCCTCTCTTCCTATACACTCACCTCTGTCTCCACAGAAGAAACCGGTTTCGTGCGTTCACTAGACCGCGAGATGATGGGCATGGAAAAGAAAAAAAACTTCAGCCAGTTCAGATTCTATTGGCAAGACATCGTTGTTGGAAACAACGTTACCTCAGTTGCAATTGTTCCACCACTTCCTAAGTATAACCCTGTCAATGCCTTTGGTTTGGTTAGAATCTTCGACAACGCTTTGACCTTAGGACCAGAACTAAGTTCAAAGCTTGTTGGAAGAGCTGAAGGGTTTTATGCATCTACATCACCGACACAGCTTGATTTTCTTGTGGTTATGAGCTTTGCCTTGTTCGAAGGTAGGTACAATGGTAGCAGCATCACCATCGCGGGAAGGGACGTTGTTTCTAATACGGTTAGGGAGATGCCTGTGATTGGTGGAAGTGGTGTTTTTAGGTTTTCTACGGGATATGCTGAAGCTAGGACTCACTTCTTTGATCCTAAAACTGATAATGCTGTTCTTGAGTTCAACGTTTATGTTTTCCATTATTGATTTCACTCTGTTTCTTAGTTTCCTCTTTTGAGGTCATGTATCAGCTGCTTTTAATTTACTTGCTTTTCCTGTGGAGGTTGACCTCATGAACCCACTCCTTGTTTATTTGTGGTGTGTTTGGGGTTGGAGTGATAGTTTGAATAATAATGAGATAACTATATAAGTTTGATTGAAATAATATTTCGTAACGAACTAAAAGAGTATCGCAGTTATATATATTTCATATGTACAAGTTGTTTGAGTATTGACCGAGTACATTGTAAAGAACCACATTAACACTTTTGGGTTGTGTGATGATATTTTTAGTGGTTTATATTATTCTCTAACACACTCCTTCACGCAAGAGTTCTTTGGGACCCAATTTTTGGTTTACCTATTGAACTCGTGATCTTGTGGTCACTTAAACTCTGATATCATGTAAAAAATCACTTTAACCCAAAATCGTGTTGGACGAAAATATTTTTAATAGTTTATATTATTCTGTATCATATATATCTCGTCCTTGTCCATTTTCAATATGATATTACCACCAACTTTAAAACTTCTTTACAATTGTGGTGTCTTGAATTAATTGGCCGACTAGGAAGAAAGTCCTCTCGAATAGACAATAACAATTTTAAATGCTAGAAAACTAATTTTTGGTCAAATGAGTTTGCCATATGCTTCGGCATGTCAGATAAATTATGCTCAATTTTAAATATAGCAATGTATGTATAATTGAATTTTATGCCATATATATACGAATTTACCATTTTAATTATATCTCGAATAATAGATATATTGGTACATATAGGATTTACTTTGAGTCTAGGTCTATGTTAACATTACTTTTTCTTGAATAAGCTTAGGTCATTTTTGCAAACTGATGGCCTTTGGCTATCTTTTATCTATCATAGAATTTTTGTTGTTTATTTGGGTTCAACCTTGCAAACATAGAAGCCTGGTTAAATTTAAACTTTTATTTAAAGGCCTACATTATATAAATGTAAAATAAGAAAAAGGTTTGTTAACTTTGTAATAGGTATAATCTTTAAACAAATTTATTATTAATATATAGTTAATAAAGAAGCTATCATTGTTATATATATATGGGTTTATTGTTTCTCTTGTCACACGAAATAAAGTTATCTCCTGCAACCCCAAAATTATATAATTTTGAGGGTTAAGTGTTGAGTTATTCAAGTGTAATGAGTCTCACATTGGTTATTAATGAACAAAGTGAAGCGGATGGACCCATGAATTTAATGTATTAAAGTTTTAGGTTGAGACATGGTGTCGAATCCACTTCCTGGCATTGGGCTAGCTTAGCCCATTGGTGGTTGTCTGCCGCCATGGGCTCCCTTTGGACCCATTAGATAGTGGTATTAGAGTAGGGTTAGGCTCGAGCTAGACTGTGGCTAAAGGCAGATTGAATACTTGGGCTAGGGGTACTTGGTTGGGGGGGGGGGGAAAGCATACCAATGGTGGATTTCACACTTGAGGGGAAGATTGTTGGGTTATTAAAATGTGATGAGTCTCACATTAGTTGGGCCCGGGCAAGCCAGATGTTTGGTTAGGAGGCGAGTTGAGTATTTTGAGCTTGGGTATTCGGTTGAGCATATCAATGTTGGGTTTCACACTTAAGGAGGAGATTGTTGGGTTATTCAAATGTGATAAGTTCCACATTGATTGGTAATGGACTAAGTGAAGTGGATACAACTGAATGGGTCCATGAACTAAATGCTTAAGATTTTGGGTTGAGATATGATGTCGAATCAACTTGCTAGCGTTGGGCTAGCTTAGCACATTGGTGGTTGTCCCTCACTATGGGCTCCCCTTGAACCCACCTGACATTATGGGAATTAATTAAGAGTATTTTGATAAAATATATATAAAAAAAAAATTATCAAAACACTTCATTAATTTCTCCTACACTCAAAACGATGTAATTTTAGGATTGCAGGAGATAACTTTATCTCCTGTGACAGAAGCTATAGGAAAAAATATTTTGTCCCTAAGCTCGTCCCTATTTGGTATGGAGTCCTAATACGGATGAACTTAGGGACAAATTCTATAAATTGAAAGCATTTTGTCCTTAATTTCGCCTCTAATAGGGACAAAATATTTCTCCTCTCAAAATCTGTTCTTAATAGAGACAAAATTTATTTCATTTCTAATTCTATCATATATAGGGACAAGTTATTTTTTCGTCTCTAAACCTGTCCCAATTAGGGACATAATATTTTCTGTTTCTAAAATCCATCCATAATTCATACTTTTTTAGTAGTGTTAGCTTGTAAGCCGGAGAAAAATAATAATAATAAATTTATTAAGCATTTAAAAAAAAAAATTGACTGATATATATAAATTTAAGCAGGCTGTTATGTTGAATATCTAACATCTCTACACTGGGCTGACCTAATTAAGAATCTCAGCCCACTTTTACATTTAGCCCATGGCCCAATCCATTTCTTTTGTATCAATAAATAACATATACATTATGCAAGTTTAATATTACTCTCGCACTTGCCCGTGCTGACTGGTGCCATTTTCTTCACGGTTCTGCATTGTATTTAAATTTCAAAGTCAACATGTTATTGAGAGATGGTATCGCTGTCTTTCTTGGAAGTCATTTTCACTTGTAATATGTTTATTTCCTGGAAATATGGTTCTGGCTCTTGGTCCATGCATCAAAAGAGCAATGCTTCAAAGATCTATTTGGTGGCCCCAGCAATGGAGAGAATAACTCCTTTTGGATTCAAAGAAATTAAAGGGAAAAAAATATTATTTGGTAGGTAAATGGTCACAGCATGACTTCAGGAATTAATCAAGAAGTTAATTTACATTATAATGGGATTAATTTTGATGCAAGATATTGATTTAGCCTCTTACGTTATTTCTTTTTTTATTTTTTGTGTGGCCACTCTTCATTATATTTTAATTTTTTTTATTTCTTCTAAATAGCTACTTGTCAACTAATTCTTCAGACAGTTAGTCGCAGTGATTCAAATCACTATAATTTTAATATTTTGTGACATTATTATTGATTTTGTTTAAGATCAATTAATAAATAATTATTTGTGATGAATTGCAATTTTCTTCTAAATAGCTATTTGTCAACTAATTCTTCAACGGCCTCAATAATTCTTTATCCACTTGAACCAACCCCTTTGGTTACTCTTATTTATTCTCTTATTTAATGGAAAAGCTTTTTATCACATTTCTACTTTCTAATATATGAAATTACAGTGAAACACGCAAAATATCTATAAAATCCTCCTAACCCTTGGTGATTATGTTCCCTTCCTTGTGTTCATCTTCCTACCCTAATACCAGGTGAAAGTCAATGGTAATAAATAAGAAGTGCGTGAGCCTCAGCTGATCACTTAAGTAGGTATCTTGTGTTAAGGGCAAATTACACTCATACCTATAAGGTTTAGTAATATTATAGGGAGGATATATAGATGTCTCATCATTTCTCCTTTAAAATACCTATTTATTGATAGATTAATTGTCGAAATTAAAATGATGATTTTTTATTTTTTGTTTTCCGAAGAGGATCTATTCCCTATTATATATATAGAGCAATGCTTTTCTCAGGCTTTTTCACCCTTTTACCCCTTATTAATTAATTAATAACTATTTTGCCCCTGATTCGAAACTATCTACCATTATGCCCCTCTTTAATCGACTACCTTACATTTTTAATCGACTAAACGGTTGTTGGGAGATTTAATCGACTAAATCTCCCTACTTAATCGATTAAAATCATACTGACTTATTTTTTTTTGTCAAAGATGAAGATTTAGTCGACTAAATAGGGAGATTTAGTCGACTAAATCTCCCAGCAGCCATTTTTTGTCTGTTTTGGCCATTTAGTCGATTAAAAATACAAGGTAGTCGACTAAAGATGGACAGATTGATAAATAGTTTCGAATCAGGGACAAAATAATTATTAATTAATTAATAAGGGACAAAAGGGTAAAAAAGCCGCTTTTCTCATGTTAAATGAGATAATATTATCTTATGTAGAGACATATTTAGGTTGGTCTTACAATTAAAAGAAAGGAAAACAGAGAAAAAATATTGACTTGAATTTCGATGTGTATGTAACATGAGATAAGATTTACCATGTAACATGAGAAAAATATTTTCCTTATATATATTCTCCCTCGTATTACATGAGTCTCTCTTAATCTATACATTAGGAATCAGTGGCTAGTTACCCCTCCAGCTAGATAATAGGTAAAAGAATATATATTGCGTGCCACAGACGACTATATATTAAGAGGACTTTTGAATTAAAGTGTCTAAAATGTAGGGGGTGGTAATTTGGATTAAGTTTAGTCCGACACGACATTCATTTAATATGAACACGAATGCATATTTAATATGAATACAATACAAATAATTGTTAATTTTAGTTTTTGAAAAAAATCATTCAAATAATCTTAAATTAATAAATAAAAATAAGAAAAGTGAAATAAAAATATAATTATTTAATTATTTAATTTAAATAGATTAAAAAAATCCATATCACGTTTAGATCTTATTAAAATGTTGTATTAAAAATTATCACTCTTTTAAAATGCCCGTCAAATAAGAGTCAGGTAGCTTATTTCCTTGATTACTTTCCCTCCCCATTTTTCCTTCGTTGACCTAGATTGGTGTGGAGCTGCCATACTGGGAGGACAATTGTAAGGCATGTGACGATGGTGTGGAAGACGTAAAAAATAACGGGACAAGGAAGGTTGGCAAATTAGGTTTGGCTTGGCGGGCGACTCATTCTGTTCTTCAAATGGGATAGAATGGGTTGAGTTTTATAACACATTCTCAAAAAACGAAAAGAGACGGATTGGTTTGTTTTTTATTGGATTGATGACCGAAAGAGGTAGGATGGGTTAGTGTAAAATAAGTTTGGGCTGGCAGAAAGGACCGAGTTTTTCAGCTACTTTAAAAAACGAGATAAGGTGGGCTAGCATATTTTTTGACAAATTGATGGTGAGGCAAGATACCTCTTT